CAGCATCTTTCACAGGAAGAACAGTGACAGGCAGGCATGGTCGGGTCAGTGCACCGAGCGAGGCTAAGTCCTCATTTTGAAGCTAAGTCTATACTTTTTAACCAAGAGGATAAAAATGGCGCAAAACAAGAAAGGTTCTTGGGTAAGTGGCACATCTCACACCCTAAAGCGGGACCAATAAGAGACACAGCTTCATCACACACGGTTTTTACTGAACTATCATACAGAAAAACGCAGAGATCAAACACACGGCATAATAATCAGGAAACAGCATTGTCCACATTCCAAGAGTCCCTGACCCGTCCCAGGCTCTCCCACCCCCTATGCACTGTAACATAATAGTGTATTTGGCACAAGCCTCTTTTAAAAACATTTTATTGGTATTTTATTTTCATTTACTTAAAAGACACCCTGATAAAATAAAGATTATGGTTACCAATAGGAAGACACTAATTAATAAAAAAAGAAGGGTTAAAAAGTGTAAGATTGCCCAGCCGGCGTGGCTCAGGGGTTGAGTGTCGACCTATGAACCAGGAGGTCACGGTTCGATTCCCCGTCAGGGCACATGCCTGGCTTGCGGGCTTAATCCCCAGTGTGGGGTGTGCAAGAGGCAGCCATTTGATGATTCTCATCATTGATGTTTCTATCTCTCTCTCCCTCTCCCTTCCTCTCTGAAATCAATAAAAATACATATATTTTTAAAGCGTAAGATTTATGGCTGGGTCGACTTGCCAATTCAGTTTGTTCAATCCATACCTATTTCTCAAAAAGCTCACTGGACGCCCTTTGCCTGGACAATATTCCAGAGTGGAATGTTTTTGGCTCCAGTATTCTTGTCTGCCTTACACACTGTGGGTAACATTTTATCACCACCAATAACATGGCAAAGAGCACACGCACTACCTGTCATTTGTCTTCCAGCCATTTCCATTCATGACGGGCCCCTGGTTTGACTTGGATCCTGCTCAGAGGGACTTTGCTGCCTCTCTCCCACGCAAACAGAGGAGCCCCAGGAGGAAGGTGACTCCGACCAGGCCCAGTGGCCACTGCTGCCCCCTTTAGTATGAGGGTGTGATGTGAGCCCCCAGGTCTTAATTAGCAGGGAGTGGGATGTGGCAGGAGCCACTCGCTCAGCCTTCACAGTCTGCAAAAGTTCCTTCCATTGGTTTATTTGTTCACCAGCATTTACTTATAAAACACTACCGACACCTGGGAACTGTGACAAGCTCTTTGTTCCCAGTCAGTTACATTTGTGAGGTGCATGACTCTCCTTTCTCCCTCTGCTAACGTTGGTCCCTTCTATTTGCCAGTGTTTTTCAGACTTCATCTAAAAACCCCAAGGTGCTGGGTAAAGCCCATTCCTGGGCCACACTCGCTGGGACTCTGACCTGGTCAGCCTTGGGGAGGGCCAGGAGTCTGCATGTTTTGGAAGGAGGATTCTAGGGGATGCTCATGCGAGCAGAGCTCAGAGTGCTGTCTGAGACGCTGAGCTCACACGGCCAACCATCCACACTCACCCGCTGCCCTCAGTCTTCGCCTGGCCTTCTCGCCCCAGTATCCCCCCGCCCCCTGCCCCAACTACCACAGCAGCTGCAGGGACTTCCTCTCTGCCTTTGGTGTAGTCGCTGAGAACACAGACCCAGGAATGTGTCATGTGCTAACCATGCACGTAAGTCTGTGTCCTCTCTAGGCCTCGTTCTGCAAGATGGGGACATAGTTAGCATGCTGAGGCCAGAGGTCACAGGCACAGAGCCTCATATGCAGTAAGCACCCAATAAGTATCAGGGGTGGTTTTCATCACCAGCACCCCTCTGACCTCTCTATTCCTAGTGCTCTGACACCTGTGTGCTCCTCCTCCCTCCTTTCCCCCGCCCGCCCTAGGCCAGGTGAGCAGGACCCCTCACTTTGGATGAGGTTTCAACCCACCACCTCATTATTATACATGATCAAATTCACCTTTGCAAACATTGCCCTAACCTGGTGTCCCCACCTCTCTTTCTTCACAGGAAACGTGGCACTAGAAGAGCATGCTAAGTGACATCACCTGGCAAGGGGTGAGGGTGCCAGGAGCTTAATGGGGGCAGCTCCGTAGGACAAAGGAGCACAGGAGAAAGGGCCTGATGCAGAACTGCCATCGATGACAAGGGCCTAAAGCCAAACCAACCAAAAGCGTTAGGGGCCCAGGCTGATGATGAACTGAATGGAGAATAAGACAGTAGGAGAAATTGATCATGGAATGGGGTTGCTAGTAAGACAGGTAACTTTTTTTAGGTGTGAAAGTGGTTTTACAGTTACTTTGCTAAGCTCTTGTCTGTTAGATCTACACACTGGAACAGTTATGGGTAAAATGATATGCTTTGGATTGAAATATATCAGGAAAAAACTAACAAATGTTAATCATTCTTTTGCTAGGAAACTACATATACATTTCCTGAGCCCCCAGTTGTGATGGGTCATTATCCTGTCCTCTGTGTATCTTTACAGATTTCCATAATAAAAAAATATATACAGAGTCCTAGTGGCACCCACTGACTGCAGAATCTGTAACATACACATGACCTTCAGATTCTTTGTTTAGTCTTAAAATATGTACAACAGTTACTTTTCCTTTATACTTTCTGCAGGTTGCCCAGTTTCACCCAAACTCAATTCTTGAGTGCATTCTCAGCACCTTCACAGCTTCATGGCTTTGCACACAACATTCCCCTGGGATGCCACTGGGCCTCACCTCTGCTAGCAAACCCTATTGCCAACTTACCTATCCGGGCAGGGCTCAGCCAGTGGTTCTGCTGCCTTGCACAGTGTTGATGGCGCTCACTTAGCCGACTCAGCTGGGCTGGCTGCACTGGACAGTCCCAGAGCGCTCTGCTCACATGTCTGGCACCTTAGTGGGGATAATTGGAAAGTCTGGGTCCAGCTGAGATTGTTCACTGAAGAGCTGACATGTGGCCTCTCCAGCATGAGGTCTCAGGGTAGGTCCTACAGGGAGGCGCAGGGCTCCAAGAAGGAGTGTTCGAAGATCAGCTGCTCCAAAAGCCAAGAGGAAGCTGCCACAGGGACTTAAACTCTTCACTTGGAAATGGACACAAGTCAATGTCTTTTATTGGTTGAAGCAGGCACAGAACCCATGGCATCTGCAAGGAAGTACAAAAATCCCATTTCTCAATGGGAGAATATCAAGAAGGTGTGGCTGCCTTAGTCCTCCCCACCTTTCAAGGCCAAGCTCAGAGGCTGCCTCTTCCAAGAGGCCTTTTCTGCTTCCCCCTTTTGGGCTAGAAATGTGTTTTCCTTGGAATTCCTGCACCTTTATGTTTCCTCCATTCTACCGTGGACTTCTCTGTGTACCTTATTTCTCTCTTCTCCATTTGATTTTTTAAAATATATTTTTATTGATTTCAGAGAGGGAG